CCAACTAAACCTGTGCAGTTAAAGCATATATCTATATATATAGCAAGTAATAATAAAGGAAACTATCACTTAAAGATGGGAAGGGGACATGTTGTGAGGGGATATCATTTGCCAACAGTAACTCATGAGGAAAACATGAAGAACAATTTAAATTTTGCAGCAGAAGGAATAAAGAAACCCAACAACTCAATATCCACTTTTATCCTTTATTGTTGCGGCGCGCAACCCGATCCAAATCATATATCATTGTTGCGGCATGCAACCCAATCCAAATATAATATTGTTGCGGCGTGCAACCCGATCCAAATATAATATTGTTGCGACGTGCAACCCGATCCAAATACAATATTATTGCGGCGTGCAACCCAATCCCAATATACAATTCAACACCAATCACAAAAGAGTCCCAACAAGGGAGCAATAAGAAAACAACAATATCCCGACAAGGGAATCGACAGTAAGAAGTAAATATGTCCCGGCAAGGGAATCAGCTATAACCAAACTTGTTCCAACATTTAACTTTACAAAGAAACCTCATCTAGAACCAATACTCAACCATAAGCAGTTTCCACGAGAATAATCATACTTCTTTCCCAACACAGAGAATCAACAACTTAGGCATTTGTAGTACTTATTAAGAACACAACGATTTCAATTTAAAACTCGCGGGCATGCTTGACACCAATATATAGATACTCGTCACCATGCCTATTACATTGTACTCAACAAATAACACATCGCAAATAGGACACAACTCCTAATCCCTCAAGCTAAGGTTAGGCCAAACACTTACCTCAAACTTCCACGACCAAATCAAGCCTCAAACACCGTTTTTCCTTTAGAATTCGCCTCCAAATAACTTGTATCTTGTCCAAATTGTAACAACATCAATAAATGCTAAAGAATTCATACCCAATGCTTAATTATAGATTATCTATCATTTTCCCCAAAAAGTCAAAAATCGACTCCAGACCCGCTTGGTCAAAATACGAGGTTCGGACCAAAATCCGATTACTCATTCACCCACGAGCCCGAATATGTAATTAGTTTCGGAATCCGACCACAAATCGAGGTCTAAATTTCAATTATTCAAAAAGCCCTAACTCTACCAAATTGCCAATTTTCTACCATTAAAATCCTAGGATTTTAGATAAAATTGATGAAATACATTAGAGAGTTGAAAGAAATGAGTTAGTGAACACTTACTTATGATTTGGGAAGAAAACCTCTTGAGAAAATCGCCCTAGGCCTTCTATTTTTGGTGAAAATTTGAAAGAGAAAACGCTGATGTTTATTTTAAAAGACTTTACTGCCCACTCTCAGACCTGCGGTGCTTGGGTCGCACATAGGCAAGCGCACATGCGAAAAATTGACCGCTTCTGTAGAAATGACTAGGCCAGCTGGGGCCGCACCTGCGATAGGGGATCCGCTCCTGCGGAATCGCTTCTGCGGAAGCTTGTCCGCATCTGCGAGAGGGCTAGACCGCACTTGCGGCCCTAAATGCGCACCTGCGAGCTGGCACCTGTGGTGCTTGACTCGCAGGTGCGGTTACACCAGAACTGATGCAACAATAGTGTTTTCCCTAAGTCTAAACATCCGGAACCTACCCGAAACTCACCCGAGCCCTCGGGGCTCCAAACCTAACATGAGTACTAACTCAAAAACATCATATGAACTTATTCGTGCGATCAAATCGCGAAACTAATACCTTTAACAACGACTTTAACATCAAAATCAAAGAAAAATCTCAAGAACACTTAAGTTCCAAATTTCACAACCGAGGGTCCGATTCACGTCATTTGACCTCCGTTTCCTACCAAATTTTACAGGTTCATCTTAAATCACATATAAGACCTGTACTAGGCTCCGGAACCAAAATACGGGCCCGATACCATCAAATTCCAAACATATTCCATTTCCAAAACTCATATATATTCCAGAAAATAATTTTCTTTAAAAATTCATTTCTCGGGCTTGGGACCTCGGAATTCGATTCCGGGCATATGCCCAAGCCCCATATTTTCCTACGGACCCTCCGGGACCGTCAAATCACGGATCCGGGTCCGTTTACCCAAAATGTTGACCGAAGTCAACTTAAATTCATTTTAGAGGCAAATTTTATCATTTTTCATAGATTTTTCACATATTGGCTTTCCGGCTACACACCCGGACTGCGCAAGGTGATGCAGAGAGAGGTTTTTTAAGGCCTCGGAATACAGAATTTATTTCTAAAACAAGTGATGACCTTTTGGGTCATCACATATCTATGACTTTATGAATATGATCACTTTTAAGAGAAATCCTAGTCTTTCAAACTTGAGTAACCCCCAATTTGAGTCTTTACAAATATAAAAGTTAAATTCATTAGTTATCCATTTTTAAGTGGATAATATGAATCTTATCCAAATTTGAACCATTTTTAGAATATTCATTATTCAACCCATTATTAGTGAATAATATGGATAGATAACTATTTTTTTTTATCTATTTGCCACGCGCGGCTTATTCTGTTTGATTGTACACATAGTTGTACGGTTTTCGAGAATTAAAACCTGATATCCACCCTAAATTCGACCCACATTGCCACTACCAGTCTACCACTAAGTTTGATACCAAACAATAATTGGAAGAGAATTTAAGGTAAGGGAGCATTCTCTCCCAACCTCTACGAAGTTAGGATAGTTGCTTAGAACTTAATATAACCTATAGAAGTAGAACAAAGCTAAATTTGTTGAACGCGGTCAGTGTGCTGTCCAAAATTCCAACTAAGTTGAATTATAAATATTCATAATATAGTAAGATCAGCTGCCGGTGCAATTTCGGTGTGCAATTCTTACCTTTAAGTAAGTCTAAAGACTAATAAATTTGTGAACTAGGATCCAGCTTCCTCGTTCACTCAGTTGAATTTGGTTTCAATAACTATACTACTATTTGTTAATTCGAGCTATATATAAAATGAATAAAGAAAAATTAACCTAAATAACTGCCCACACAATCGCTTAAAATACAAATAACTTAATGTATAATTCATATATAATATATGTTAATTGTGTATAATCTATGTCGACATGTTATTTGTGTAAAGATCCTTAAAAACAGCAGATTTCCAAAAAAGAGCAACTCATGAATCATCATAGAATAATAGCCGCGTTACGAGGTCATATGCACAACCTTCCTTCAGTACTAACAAAGAACATTATTCTTTTATTCCCTTATTAAAAATAATGTTTTGGAAAATTATTAGTTTTCCGATAATCACTGGTTATGTACTAAATCATTGATTTTCCATCTTACTGTTGCCACTACTAAAGAGTTCGTCGTTGTTGAGAAAGCCATCTCATGTTCACGTATCCTCGGCTCACCCTCTATTTTGCTATACACCTCATTCTTGCTTGATTGCACTTGATTTTGCACGGGGAATTCATCGAACAATACTTTACTATACGAAATATAGAGTAAATTTCACCCAAAAATTACTTTTTTATTCTTTGTCATATAAAAGTCATTCAATTTTGAATTTGTAATATAAAATCACTTTTTTGTTTTTTGTCACATATAAGTCATCCAACTTTGGCAAAATTAAGTAAAAAATAAGTATTACCCGAATTTTACATTTTGTACCGAAAATATGATATGACACTTCAAAATAGCTATATAGCTTAATAAAACATATTTAATGTAATAGAATAACTTTAGAGACCTCTCTTATGAAATTACGTTTATCTCCATATTTTGATATTTTTTTTGTAACAAGGGGGAACATATCGAGCTCGTCGATTTTCTGTTTGTCATTAAATATTTGATGCTCTAATAATGACTCTCCTGCTAATTCAAAAAGGTATTTTTTTGTAGAATTCATTAAACAGATGAGTATAAATTAATAAGGACAGAATAATCAACCATATTTTTACATCAATGATAATGAGTTAGCAAAATTATTATAAAGTAACAAAATTAAAAAAAAGTAAACATAATATTTGCAAACCACAACTGAGATTAGCGAAACATGGAGAGAGATCACTCAAATTATTTCAAATATAACTAATTTATTTTGGAGTGTTATGTTATATTTTCAGTCTAAAATATAAAATTAGAAGTTATTTTTGAGTTACAAATTCAAAGTTCAATGATTTTTATGTGATAAAAAAAATAAAAAAGTAACTTTTGTATTATAAACTCAAAGTTGAAAAACCACCCATAAAATTAATCAACATAGTTATAAGTTGCTTTTCGATCATTAATTAACAGGGTATTTGGTCGTTTTCTTTATTGGTCGCATTTCTGTCTATATATAAATTACTTAGTTCAACGTAAACTCAAATAAAAGAAAAAGATGATATACATAGGTAGCTAATGTAAGTCTAATTATGTTGTATCCACTAAAATAGGGATGATCGTACAAACGACATCATCTAATTTAGAAGTAAGACATATTTGATAGATATAATAGAATTGTCAAATTATTAGTTAAGAGGGATTTTCATCTAACTATTCTTATAGTAGTTCCTAAGTTCTAACTTGTGTACGTTTTTTGACTGGATAATTCTTCACCCATCCAACTTTTATTTTCTTCTCTTTGTTGCTTGTTTCAGATAGTCAAATAATGTACAGTGATGACTCCCATATTCCATTCCAGCAATTCCTTCATTTTTAATCCAACTATTGACACACCCATGCCGTGAATCTCCTCTTAACCTATTGCCACTGTCAGATTCAAACTTCTAAGAAAATTCCTCATTCATAAAAGATTATATAAAATAAGTACAGCTGTGGCTGCAAATTAGATCTTATAATTGTACGGTTGTTCCTTATTTATCTTGACCTAATCCATATACATTTTAAGTCAACACAAGAAATTTTTGTTAATTCTTTCTTCTTTCCAACTCCAAAATATGTGTTAATTTTAATATGTTGCAGGGTCAAAGGATTTAATACTAAAAGATAACAAAAAGATTAGGAAGAAGAATTCAAAAATTATAACACAAAGTCAACTAGGAAAACTCATAAACTTTTCATTAGATTCATGAACCAGAATCAGAAGTGTTCTTCACTGACTTATTTAATACTAAGCAAATTTCTTTACTTGGGGCTTTTGCTTTGTTACACGGCGGACAACCTGCTTTTCTTGATAATAAAGAGACTTCTTCTAGGATTTCTATTACAGTAGCAAATGATGGTCTCGTAGAAGGAACTGTGCTGGTGCAGTCCTCTATTAACCTGCAGATCATAACAATATGGTATCAATGCAGCTACAAAATCCTCATCCAATATTTTCTAAAAGCAAAAACATCGAATGGATACCTTTATGAAAGGAAGAAGGATGACATCAAATAAGAGTTAAACTATTGTGCCTTCTGCATTCATGTGAATCTTAAAATGTTGAATGTTTCAAGCAGCAGCATAGACCAAACTTTGACACTAGAACACTTTTCAAAATTCTCTAAAACTTCTACCAAATGATTCTGTAGAGGGGGGCACTTATGACACATTCTATCATCTCATAACGCAAACAATTTAATTCCGAGTCAGCAGAATGCAAATCTGGGGCTAATGGTACTTACTTATTAGGATTCCACTCAACATTATCCTATCAGTCCTTGTTAAACCTACAGCTTTAATGCATGTCCGAGCAAATAGTGAGTACTCTCTGTTAGTTAAATTCCAAGGTTTCAATGATGACAATGTTAACTTACCTGTTTTGCAGGAATCATTAAAAGGAAAGAAAACCAATGAGAAGCTGTCCTAAGATGTGATTGCTAAAAGACAAGAAGAAGGAATCAAAAATCAGCAGATCCATTTGGCCTCAATCAAGGAAATCAGATTACAAATCAAGGAGCTATTGCCAGTAAATATTCAATATCCTTAATTAAGCTCAATCAAAGGCTTGATTGTCTCGTGAATGAAAGTTGTGACAAGGAAAGTCACGATCGAATCCAGCCCTTCCCAAGAGCAGGATTCGAAGAGGCACCCCTTGGGTCAAATCCTTTTAAAGATCTCGTGCCTCTATTTTTGGTCAAGGCTCAACGGCTCTTTCCTCTCCTATAAGAAGTTTGCTATGATTAAATGGAAGACTTGCGCAACTACACACATTGTTTTCTAAGTCTCTCTACTTCTTAGCCTAAACACTGTAATCCTTAGTTTACCAGTGTCTCAAAAGATAGGAAGAGTTAGAGCACAAAAGAGAGTTGTGTCACTATTCGAGATTCATTGTTGATGTACTTCGTTGGTGGTGAACGAATCAAAACCATCTGTACTGTAATACTTTCAAGATCTAAAGGGAACCCTTATGACCCAAGGGAAACTGGATGTAAGTACCACACCGGTACCGAGCCAGTATGAAATCGTTGTGTGTCATTCTCTTTTCATTTACTGTTATTTTACATTCTGCTCTCAATCTAGTCAACTAAAATCATCGTTAGTCGACTAATTTTTAATAGACCATAATTCACCCCCTCTTGTACTTTCAAATGATATCAGAGCAAAGCTCACAAACTTTGTTTAACAGCTAGTGAGGAAAAGATCATGGGATCAAACACAGTTGTTGGTGCACTATTTCAAGAGGGAACCTCTCAAGTTCGACCACCATACTTCAATGGACAACACTTCTCTCGTTGGAAAGTTTGTATGGAAACATATATCATGTCATATGACATCAAAGTCTGGCGGGTGATCAAAAAGGGAAATCGTCCAATTCTCCCAAAGAAAGATGAGAATGGTCAAGTAATAATATCCACTGATCCACTTGATTTAGATGAATACACTGATGAGCAAGCTTTTGTCATAACTGTGAATGCCAAAGCAAAAAATCTGTCGTACAATGCTATTAGTGGTAAAGAATATGAAAAGATCTCAAGCTGTGAAACTGCTAAGGAAATGTGAGACAAATTGGAAGTCACATATGAAGGAACCAACAAGGTAAAAGAAACGAGGATAAATCTCTTAGTTCGTGAGTATGAGCTATTTCAAATGAAGGACAGAGAATCTGCTGAAGAAATGTTCTCCAGGTTCAGCAAAATTCTTGGAGATCTCAAATCTTTTGGTAGAACAATAAAAGGCGGAGAACAAGTCAGAAAGATTCTTAGAAGTCTACCTACGATTTGGCTGCCAAAGGTCATCGCTTTCGAATGTTAGGATCTTGACAAAATGTCCTATGATGAACTCAGAGGTGACTTAATAGCTTTTGAAAAAACTCACTTGGATATACAGATTCAAAAAGAAAAGAAAAAAATAGTTGCCTTCAAAGCAACTGTGGCTAAACCAGAAGATGAAGAAGAAGGAGGAGGAGAACATGATGAACATATAGTCATGCTTTCTCAAGTTGTAACTAGCATGATGAAGAAAAATAGAAATAGCAGAAGAGGTAAACCAAACTTCAGAAAGGGAAGGATAAAAAATGAAAATGATGGAAGATGCTACGAATGTGGAAAACACGGACACATTCAAGCTGACTGTCCAGAACTAAAGAAGAAGCTGAGCAGGAACCTTCAAAGGAAGAAGTCTTTTGGAGCCTGGAGTGATGAAGAACAGTCTGATCATGAAGAAATTACCAATATGTGCTTCATGGCCATAGAAGATGATAGCAATGAAGAATTAGGAGAGTGTGGATTCTCAGGAAACAGAGGAGCAAATGAAGAAGAAGACTCAAATCAACTTGGTCCCATGGCAGACGAGGGAACTAGTGAGGTACGTCCCCCAATTGCCCTAATTGTTATGAACTTCAAGAATTTGTTGATATTGCTCTTGCAGATATTGAAAGAGTTCTAAATGAACTCAGAAAGATTCAAAGAGAAAAGAAAGAGTGGGACCTGGAGCTAGAAGTTTGTGAAATTGAACGTAATATGCTACAGGAAGAAGTTAATGAACTTCAACTTCAATTGAATGTATTGCAAAAATTCACTAGTCATAGTTTAATCAAATCAAATCAGACTGTTCATCACAAACAGAGGAAATTTCATGCATATTCCTTTTGTGGTAAAAATGGACATAGTACTAACCAATGCAAGAACAGAATCAAAGCAGAAAAAGACCCTGAAAATTCCAATAGTCTGTCTTGTTTTTATTATGGTAAAAGGGGCCACACCTCAAGTCACTGCAGATTCAAGGATGATAGTAGATGGGTCTGGTGACCCAAATCTTCAAATCAAACTAACACTCAGCATTCTAACAATTCAGGACCCAAGCAAGCTTGGTTACCTAAAAACAAGTAATTTTATTTTGAAGGAACACCGCAAGAAGAATCGAAAAGGAAAATGGTATCTCGACAGCGCGTGATGGAGGAATAGTCACATTTGGAGACAAATCCAAATGAAATGTAATTGGTGTTGGTAAAGTTCCTCTGAGCGCAACATGTGATGTAGATGAAGTCTACCTGGTTTATGAACTCAGCTACAATTTTCTCAGCATTAGTCAACTATGTGATAATGACTACGAGGTTCGTTTTAAGAAACATGGTTGGTTTATAGAAGATGAATCAGGTAAAGTCATTCTTTCAGGTAATAAAGATAGAAATGTCTACACTATTAGCAAATTAGATAATCTTGGGGATCAAATTTGTCTACACTATTGGTCATGCCAGCATGCATACTATTCAAAAGCTTTCTAAACATGATCTCGTTATTGGACTTCCAAAACTCACAAGATCATATTTGTGATGAATGTCAACTAGGAAAACAAACTCGCTCTTCTTTCAAAATCAAGAATATTGTTTCCACCTCAAAACCTCTCCAACTATTGCATATAGATTTATTAGATCTAACTAGAACTGCTAGCATAGATGGTAGGAAATATGCTTTTGTCACTGTGGATGATTTCTCTAGATTTACCTGGGTTATGTTTTTAAGTCATAAAGATGATACTCTAAAGAATTTTGAAGTTTTATGTAAAAAGGTTCAACGAGAAAAGGGTTACTACATCTCTTCTATCAGAAGTGATCATGGAGGAGAATTTGAAAGCAGAGCCTTTGAAAACTTTTGCAACGATCAAGGAATCTCTCACAACTTCTCTTCACCAAGATCTCCACAACAAAATGGAGTGGTAGAGCGTAAAAATAGAACCCTACAGGACATGGCAAGAACCATGATTGTGGAAAATTCTCTACCTCACCATTTCTGAGCAGAAATGGTAAGCACAGAATGCCATATCATCAATAGGTGTCTGATTCGACCAATCCTCAAAAAGATACCGTATGAACTGTGGAATGGTAAGAAACTCAATATTAGCTATTTTCACCCTTTTGGATGCAAATGCTTTATTCACAACAATGGAAAGGACAATTTGGGTAAGTTCGATCCTAAAAATGATGAAGGGATATTTCTTGGTTACTCTCCTTCAAGTAGAGCATATAGAGTTTATAATAAAAGAACAATTTGCGTTGAAAAATCAATTCATTTTGTTTTTGTTGATACTAACCCTCGTCTAAGGAGTGAAAAACTTCCTGAAGATGAGGAAATTCCCTTTGTCCCTAAATCTGTCATTACAAGAAAGGATCATTACAGTGAGTCAGCTGATCAGCAAACTCAACCAGCTGAAGAGTCTTGTAAAAATTCACGAACCATCTCAAACAGATTAGTCGACTAATGTAGAAAGAGATCCTCCCTCAAACACTCCAAATGAATGGAAAAACGAACATGGTTATCCTCACAAATTCATTATAGGAAATCCACAGGAAGGAATCACTACAAGAAGATCTCAAAAGAACAAATCTCATGTGGCTCTTATTTCTCAACTTGAGCCAAAGAAAGTGAATGAAACTCTGAAAGATACTCACTGGATAAGTGCTATGAAAGAGGATTTAGATCAATTTGAAAGAAATAAAGTATGGAAATTGGTTCCAAGACCTTCAAACTCCTCCATCATTGGAACTAAATGTGTATTCAGAAACAAATTGAATGAATCCGGTCAAGTGGTTCGAAATAAAGCAAGATTGGTTGCTCAAGGATACTCTCAACAAGAAGGAATCCACTATGATGAAACCTTTGCTCTTGTAGCAAGACTCAAATCCATTCGAATATTACTTGCTTTCGCTGCTCACAAAGGATTCAAGCTGTTTCAAATGGATGTTAAAAGTGCGTTCCTAAATGGCTACATCTATGAAGAAGTATATGCGAAGCAACCACCAGGATTTGCAAACGTCACCTTTCCTGATCACGTATACAAACTGACTAAAGCTTTTTATGGTCTCAAACAAGCTCCGCGTGACTGTTATGAAAGTTAAGTTC